AAATAATATTTTAAGATAGAAATTTATAAAATCCAAAATAAGTAAAATCCTGAAATTAATATCTTGAGATATAAATATGTCAAAATAGATTCAGCAATAATACTTTTCCAATATGTGCTGCCTTATTTGAAGAAATAAATGTCAAGCCTGAAATTTACTTGTGACAAGGAATCTTTAATAACAAACAAAATTTTATAAAAAAAGAACAAAACGTAGTGATGGATTTGTGGGCCCATTTCTAAAATGACTACAAATCTACAACAGGGGACCTTGGTGACCTACCCTGTAATTGCAGGACTCAGGGTGCAGAAACAGCAGTGTTTCAAGCTCACTGTCAGCTTGGGCTACAAAGGGGGAGTTTTACTGAAAACTAAAAATGAAAGGAGAAAGTTGACATGTAGATCAATGGACTTCTCTTGAATGTGATGATGTAAGTTTATGTTTTTGGCCTATTGATTCTGAATCAGAGTCTGCAAGCCTATTCTTATCAATGCATAATTCTAACAGAGCTGGAGATCCACATGAAATAGAATGTGATTTGACATACACCCCGTATTGTAAAATAAAAACTTAATTCAAAATGGGCCAAAGACCTGATTGTAAAAATTAAAATTATGTAAATCTTAAATGCCAACACATGATTAAATCTTCATTATCTCGATGTGGACAATATTCTCTTTTATAGAACGCTAAAATTGAATCATGAAAGAATAGAAAAGAGCTTGTGCGTCACTGGATACAAGTAAAATGTGAAAATAACTCAAGCAATGGAAGTTTATGTCTGCAAATCATTAACATGATATGTTTATTATCCAGAAAAATGTATTCAATTATTTTATTTCAAATTTTATTTGTGCTTTCAGACATTTGGGAATTTTAGTGGTTACCTGAAATAAAAACAACTCTGAAAAATAAACTAAGTTCAAGGATAGACATGATCTATAAAATTCATACATTTTTATCTTGAGAATTTTGTACATAGTACCATTTTTACATTTCCATTCTTTCTTGTCTTCCCACTAATTTCTTCCCATGATTCCCCATCTCCTGCCCAAAGTCATGACTCCTTCTTTATTAGTTTAGCACATACCTAAAACCTGCAGAGTTCATTAGTGGTGCTCCTATGTGCATGTGTTCAGATATGACCAGTTGGGATGACCATTGGGATGCTGGTACCAGGAGAAAAATAATTCTCCCTCCTTCAGCAGCCATTGAGTACCTGTAGCTCTTCATCTAGATGTAGAACATTGTGAAATTTCCCTCATTTATCTTGGCATGTGAACTGGTGCTGTCATTATTCAGGTCTTGTTTATGAAACCGTACTACTGAGATTTCATAGATCCAGCTTCTAACATCAGGTATTCTGGTCCTCAGCACTTGAAACCCTTCTGCTCCCTCTTCCTTAATGTTTCCTGACCCTTAGTTGGAGGGGTGTCATTATAGATGTATCCGTTGGAGTTGGGGCATATTATGGTCACTCATTCTCCGCATATTCACCAGTCATGGATTTGTAATAGTTTCCACCCATTGTAAAAAGAGGCTTCTTTGATGAGTGATGAGAGCTACACCTCCAAGTGACTGTACGGATGAGCATTTAGAATATATTAAGAAATTGCATTTGATTTGAAAAATAACTGGTATGTTCTCCTCTAGGGTCTATGATGCCTCCATCCATGGGTATTTTGTAGGATTGCAGTATCAGGCATGAATTCCCTTCTGAGTGGGCCTCAAGTTCAATTAGGAACCTACCAAGACAAAGGTGCCACTATTGCATTATTGGGGATATCTTCCAAGATCAGTCATTTTGATTCATAGGCCTTACAACTAGGTAGAAATATTGCTTTTCTCCATTGACAGCTTGTAGAGTACCTTCTAATACTGTGAGTGCTAGTCCTTAGGAAGGATGTTTCCAGATCTATTCCAGCTCAATTTTGCCAAGTTCTATGTTCAAAGTGTATGTTGTCCTCAGCAGAGCTTGCCTTCAAATTCTAGGAGGCAACTGAAGGCAACTGAAATAGCCTGTATGGTATTACTTCCGTCCTCCCTCCTTACAGGTCCCTGCTAGTCCAGTCCCATTTTTCAACTTTGGTAGGACCTGTGTACCTCTGTAGAACTCCTTTAACCCTTTATCCCATAGTCTGGCTTAAGTGGTTCCTTTAGGTTATGTACCCAAACCTAAATATTCAAAGCCAAGATTCATGAAAAAATGACAGAACATGAGTTATTTGTCCTTTTATGTCTGGGTCACCACCGTAAGTATAATCTTTTCCAGTTCAATTCATTGATCTACATATTTCATGATTTCATTTTGAGTTACAGCTGAAAAATTTTCCATTGTGTGTATGTACCACATTTTTATTATTAGTCATCAGTTGAAGGACATATAGGCTGTTTTATCAAATTTTTGTATCTCAGAAATATCCCAAATAATCTAAAGGATTTGTCTAGATATTTTTTTTTCTACAGAAGTCAATAAACACATGAAGAGATGTCCCACACCATCAGTCACTGGGTAAATACAAATCAAACCACACTTATCTTTTCACACTTATGATAATAACTATAGTTCACTATCAACAGCCTTGTGGAAACGGAGAGATGAAGCTGCTGAGGTAGCAGAACGTGAAGCAGTTCCTCTGGAATGTAGCTTGACAACCTCCCAAAATGATAAACATAGAATTCCATTTTACTTAGAAAGTTGGCTTCTAGATAGGTCTCTAAGAAATGAAAACTTCCAACATAGATACCCTGGGACATCGGTCTTCTGGTTTCTGTGCTAGTGGCTTAGGGGAGCACAAATGCTTGCCCATCAAGCACATTTCCTTTCCACAAAGCTGGAGATGAAGCTGGGCTCCAAATAGGCACCTGCATACGCGTTACTTCTTAGACTTGTGGGGACAGCAAGTGAGGAGGTAAACCATGTTGGAATCAGTCCTAGATCACTGCAGCTGGAATACTACATTTTTAGTATGTTTTAGTTGTTGACATACACGGTATTTTGGAGAATTAATTCTCAGTTGCAAATAACTCATTCACTGAGGAAAAAAGCGGATATACATACAACTTCTGAATGGCAATTGACCTAATGCTTGATTTGGGGGTCTTTATAGGCTATTTAATAAAGTTTTGTTTCAGTATTGGTGGTAGTGGGGTTTGGATCCAGGGCTTTACACATGCAAGGCAAGCATACAGTGAACCTATCCACAGCCTGGTTAAATAATTTTAAGGGACTTCCTGGAATTTAGGTTCAAAGAGTTTGTACATTTTGTCTTCCTTTTATGAGTCCAGATATCTCTGCAGTGGGGAAGAAGCTGGCCTCAATCCTTCTAAGTCCTTCAATTAGATATGTACCCAGCTTATCTTTATTAAAATTGGTATTTAGGGTTTAAGACTGTAATTTAGTTGGTAAAGAATTTGTTAGCATGTGCAAGACACTGGACATGATCCCCAGTAAGACACAAACCACACATGGTGATTCATACCTCTGATAGTAAAACAGGATCATCACAACAGGTGATCAAGTCCAACTTTTTCCACAGAATGAAATCCTGTCTCAAAAAATCGCCTATGTTTGATTCCACAAATATTTGTAATGGACTTAGAGAATTTGAGATAAAAAGCTGTATCAATTTAAGCAAAGGTGATAGTATATGCCTACTTATATTTTAAAAAAATGTCCAGTCCTCTTGAAGCAGGTGGATCTCTGTGAGATTGAGACCACCCTGGTCCACATAGTGAGCTCCAGGTGGTCTGGGACTAGGGAGACCCTGTCATATTAATGCTCACTGGAAAACTCGTATAAGAAAGTTAACACTATTCATAATTGTCAAAAAGTAGGAAAATGTCCATCTAATGAATGGACAAACCAGCATATTTCCATGTAATAGAATACTATTCAATAACAGAATGGATGAATAGATGCAATCTACTATATGGAAAAATTTTGAAAACATTACATTAAAAGAAAAGAAAAACAATTATGGAGACCTCATGTGGTATGATCAATTTATTAGAAATTCTAGATTTGGTGAATCCACACAGAGAGAAAATAGAATGGCAATTTTCAGGACTGGGAGGGAAGGGGTGCGAATATGCTTGTAGTGTATGTGGGATTTCTCTTGGGAGTTTTAAAGTGGTTCTAAAATCCCATAATTGACATTGCTGCAGCTCTGTGTCAAAAAAAAAAAAAACAGATGGCTTTGAGATAGAACATTAAAGTATGTTGTTTATGATATGTGAGTTATATTTTAATAACAAATCTCAATAAATTATGTCCCCTGATTATCATGTGAATTTTAGAGCAAAGGCTCATGGAACAGCATCGTGACTTTAGGTCACTAGCAAGATAATTCAGGTTAGTGAGGCCAATAATTTAGAGTAAATCAAGTTCATATTAGTCTGGAACTATCACTGCAGCTTCCAAAAAAAGACAGTCTGGACAAGGAACTTGCCTTTTTCTTAACAAGTTTTAACGTAGTTAAGATCTAACTCATTCTTTGAATAGTTACCTATCCTGTGACAAAAACCTCTGCTGCCATTGAATTAGGTTTAATCTTATATTAGAAAGAAAATTGTCTTATAAAAATATATTTTTATTATTGTGGATGTGCATCTGAACTATGTGTATGTGCACATATCAATGTACACTTGTGGAGGGAAGAGGAGAGCATTTAGGAGTGGGATCTCTCCTTCCACGGTGGGTTTCAGGAATCAAACTCAGGTCATTATCCTTGCACAACAAGCACTTTTACCTGTTGAGTCATCTCACTTGCCCACAAAGCAAATTCCAACACACAGTTGATCCTTAACTTAGTCTATGGAAATGTTTGAAGTTTAACTGCCATTGATACTTTCATAATGATAATGTGCATGAATTTGTAAATAACAATTTTATTGATTCTTTGAGAATTTCATACAATGTATTTTGATCATTTTCTTTCCTCTCAGACCCTTCTAACTTCATGATGTCCTCTATCATTTTATTAAAGCCTATCTAGGATAATTTGTCTTCCTCAAATATTCCTTTTAAAGCATCCCTACTGACTAAATTCATTTTGAGGAGAACATAAAACAAAACAATAAAACTAATAAATAACATATAGAATTCCCCAATTATAATACATTATTAGAATTTAATTTTGCCAGTATGTCTCAGCCTTCGTTTGCTTTGATTAATGTTTTGATTGGCATTTCAAACACAAGAAGCCCTGTAGTATCTTCTATCCTCTTCCTTTTTTAACTGTCCTGTCACTCATGTGGAGTTAGACTTTCACTCAGAGTGAAAAAGTTCTTTCTCTTTTTTAAAGATATATTTTATTATTTACATGTATGTGCATATATGTAGGTGCATATGTATGCAACAAGTAGACAAATGTCTCCAAAGGCCAGTAAAGTGCATCAGTTCCCCTGGAGATGGAGTTTGTGCAGCCTGGAGTCTTGTATGGGCCTTATAGAAGAGCAGTAGGCACTTTTAGACAGTGAGTCATCTCTCCAGCCTCATGTTCTACTTTCTTTATCGCTGAATATGGGAAGGGGGAGAGCAGACTCTCACATGTATAACAATGAAAGACAAAAGGAAAAGAGGAGGGAAGGGATGAGGGCCAGACAGAGAGACAAATTGGTCATGGGAGGAGTCAAAGTGAGAAAAAACTGCATGTAACAGAAGTGACCAGGGCATTTTAGCTCATTCGCGTCACTTAGTTACAAGGACATGGGTGTGAGAGGAAGACATGGCTTTATAAAAGCGAGGAAGTCTTTCATTTGTTATTTAAAAAGATCAAGTTTCTGAGTATTCTATCACATCTCCTTTTTCCTTTTCTAACAAACCAATCAACATAACTTACAATTCATTTGGATAGGTCTCAAGAGTCAGTGATTATTTTAAAAATTATCCTTTGAAACGACCAAAAATGCCATACCAGGACAGAAAACCTCAGAGATTCTATGATTAGTCTATCAATTAAAATAGTTTTAAGCAAGAAGAGTTGATCATGCATGCTAGCATGGGCAAGCCATGGGGAGTGAGCATCTTGCAAGAGACTTACCTCTCACAATAGCTTGAGGAAACAGCTCTCTCTTACATTTCAAGAGAAATATATGTCTGCTTCATTCAAAAGATGTTCCTTAGACTATTTTGCCATCTTCTGGCTAGTTTGGCATTATTTCCTCCTAAATTCTTTTATCTTTTTAACTGAAAACTTTTAAACTTGATTTCCTTGGGAGAAAACTCAATTATAGTCTTTAAACAGAAAAGGTATGAGGTGTATTAGTTATTTCTTTCTTTGTTGGGACAAAATGCAGGACAGACAGAAACAACTTAACTGAGGAAGGATTTATTTTGGCTCATAGTGTCGGGGAATTTCATTTCATCATAAGGGCTGGAGGGGTGTAGTTCCCAGTGACAGAATCATGGAATGGCTGGTTGTATCAATGTGCTGCAAAAAGCAGAGAGATATACCAGAAGCAGCACCTGTGACCTACTTCTCCCTGCTAGTTCCACCTAACGTTTCCATAACTTCCCCGAATGGCACCATGACCTGGGGACAAAGTGTAACTAGCTTGTGGGATCACTTCCTATTCAAGCTGTAGCATGGAGAGAAGAGAAAAGACCAGCTGCCTGTGAACTAATGCTTCTGTGTATTCCTGCTACGTGACTTCTTACAAGAGGAAGCAATTAACTAACGATCTGTTACTCTATTTGGCAGAGGTAGGACTATAGATTCAGAAGTTTCCCAAAGACTCACAGTCAACAAAAAGGGGTTTATATTAATTAGCAGTATGGTTCTGGTTAAAGCAAAATAGTCTCGACACACCTTAAAACTAGTAATATTATTCAAGAGATTTGGATAGAAATACTGTTTATGTCCAGGGATCCCTCCAATTCTAAGAAATAATCTACCAATACCCTTTTCATTCTTATCAAATATAACATATGAAAAAGCAGTTTTCAACAAAGATTGTAGTATAAAAATGAGTTTTTCAGAGTTTTATGACTTCGGAAGAAAAATTCTCTATAAGCTTTACTTTAAAACTTTTCTATATAAACCATATGTCCTGTTATCCAGAGTGCAAACTGTACTTTAATTCTGATGAACCCTCCGATTTCACTAGAAAACTTTCCAAGGAAAGTGAATAAATTCACCCTCAGTGTCAGACATGATGCTGCAAGCAACAAGACCTCAGTTTTTAAGCGGATATGGCAAAAGTTGAATCCAAATCCACTCTTAATTTCATTCTAAAATTATAGTGTTTAAAGATCCAAAATTGGATTAAGTATGAAAGGATACTGTGGAGAGACAGTAAGGCAGAGTGAGCTAAAAATTGGTCTGTGAAATGAGTCAGTTTTCAGAGAGGAAGACTGGAAATCCTGTCCACCAAGGCTGACCCTTTCTAAAGAGATCATGTGCAAACTAGGGCATGCTGTGAAATGACTGATAAAATTTCCAACTGCTGAGTGGGGCACCATTGACCTTTTAATCTTCCTCTCAGCTAGAGCCCATTTCTTCTCCTAGACAGGCATTCTTTTTAAAAAATATTCGGTATCTGCAACCATCCAAGTTTCTGTCTAATAGATTGTTCACAAGAAACCAGAAATTCTAGTGGATACCTACTGGAATTCCATATTCACCTGTAAAAATACACTTTTAAAAATTAAAAATTGGGTGCTGGAGAGATGGCCCAGCAGTCAAGGGCAATTACTACTCTTACAGAGGACCGAGTTTGAATTCCCAGGACCCACATGATGGCTCACAACCATCTGTAACTCCAGTTCCAGGAGATCTAACACCCTTTTCTGACTTCTGCATATATCAGGCATGCACACGGTATACACATACGTGCATACTAGCATACATTCATATACATAAGATAAAAATAAGTAAATCTGTAAAAAGTTAAATAGATAAAAAATAATAATAGTTTTAATAGAAAGAGAG